TATTATTACGGATCGAATTACTATCATTCTTTTCTTTCTTTGTCTTAATATTTACATATATAGTCTAAATGTGTAATTTAGACTACATATGTAAATATTAATACATTAGATATTTTGTTCACAGCATTAGAAAAGAGTGCTATTATACCTCCCTGCTTACAAAAACTGTCTCGAAGTACATACAATTATACATAGACATTTATATTAATATTCGCAATTCTTCATATGAAGAACGAGATAAAATTCAATTAATTTCAGGATTTGACTTATATTAAGTTGCCAACTCATTGACGTAAAAATTCCTAGTTTAATGAAAAATATATTTACTGTACTGTTCTGTTCGATGAAAAGTCAAAATGTATATAACTATAATATAGAGAGCTGCGTGTATCTTTCAACAGTAAGTCTAGTAAGTTAAAATTGTACCTCATTCGTACGCAAATGGATGAAGTTTCTTACAATAGGTACTACTATATCGAGGGTAGCAGAACTTGCTCTACGTAATAATACCTCTGGGTCTCCTTAGAGATTACGTATGTTAGTGCGTTCTTAACCATCTAACGTTGGCATAGTTAAGTAGGTAATAAAATATAGAGCATTTTCAAGTTATTTCGCGATTGCCTTACTAGCCACTAACAAAATTACATACCCACATGATACCTAGTACCTACCTACATAAAAGATGTAAAGAAAAATTACTGTCTAAGCAGTCTTTGACATTTTTATTTCTAACTTTCAACATCAAACGTTCAATATTAAATTGTGTTATAAATTTCTTTACGCTTACCTACTTAAATAACGGCTCATTAGGGATGTCTACAAAAGTCTACTTTAGTTATAGACTTTAGCAAAAATAATTTCTAAGCAATGTTAAGAAAATTTTTAATTACTTAATACGAAAATTATAATTCTTAATTAAGTAATCTAAGACATATTCTCTGACATTAATTTGGTTTGTTATTACGTCATTACATAGAGAGTACGATAACGAGAACGATACATAAAGCCGTGGTATTTAATAAATCAGTTCTTTGTTTTACATAATAAATAAAAATCTGGCTAAAATATAATCTGATTGAAGGTCTTTTATCTAAGAATAAGGTACTGATTTTTTAGTAATAATTCAGTTAAAAAAAAGATAAACTTACAAATGTCAGCTATCTGTTTTTTGGGATATTTATAACAACCAAAATACTGATAAGGGATGTTCACAATCCCTCTTGAAATTTTCCTCATATCGAGTACACTGTACTCGATCTCGACAATATCATAGATGTTTTAGGCCATTGTGGTGGTCAATCTCTGAGTAGTGTCTTGTCTTGCCATGTCGGGACATATTCTTTACAATAGTCACAGATAACATAATATTACATACAATAGGCAATGCTATTACTAAGTTTACAAAGGTTTACTTATAGAATTATTCAGGGCACTTGCCCTTAAATAGAATTCTATATACCACATTAAATTTGTTTAGAATATATTTAAGAAATTAATAAGACAGTATTTTGGATATGAATATTGGCATTTAGAAATATATTTTATTTTATTTTTTTTTTATTTAAATAACAATGTATTTTGGACTTAACACCTGATGGCATTTTCTATCAACCATGAGTTGTGCATTAATATATTATTTTATAGAATATACATATTATACATACAATATATATTACATTTATTACATATTAATATACTCGCTGTCCCGAGCAACTTTTTCTACGTCACACTTATTTTTTTTTCTTTTTGATTGCAGGTTCGTTCCTATTGGTCGAAGCATGATATTATTTTAAATATCCTATAGCTCTTCCTAATAAATGGGCTATCCACTCTAAAACAATTTCCAATTCTGATCCGCGTAGTACCCGAGATTACACCGAAAATACACTCACAAACTTCTTCATAATGTTAATATAATATTACTTAGAAATTATTTATTATGAAGTACATTTAACATTTGTTAAAAAGATTTAAAAGTACTCAATAAATAATTCTACTTATTCGAAATAAGTTACTTTTATACAAATCGGGAGGTGGTGCTTTTGATGTGGTGTTATGAAGTATAAGTATATAATCTACTTAATTTCACAAAGGTAATCTTTTCTATATACCTTACACATCCATATTAAAATAAGAGGATGTTGTGTGATTTTCAGCCTGTTGCTCCACCTCTATAGGAAAGGTCGTAGTGTGATGTTTTATAACGCATAACTATATTCGATAAATCGACTATTCAGTAATATAACAATTTTTAATATCTATGAAATTATATAGGGAATAGCCCGTGGAACCAAACAATCAAATAAAATAAATTCTACAGCTTTGTAATATTGATATCTACAGGTAGGTGTAATCCATTGGTTAAGTACTGCCATTTCTGTAAGATGTTAACAATTAAGGAAATAAAATACTTTTAATATTATATTAGGTATATGTGAAATGATTAATTAATTGCGTATTATGTAGGTTTCGAAATATAAAGGGAATTAGGTATATTGGTCACTTGGGTTACCTACTTGGAAGTTTTATTGTTTTTTATATTATTAACACGTTTAGATATTTAAATATTATGCCTGTGAAAATTAATAGTATTAAATTCTAACATAATGTTCCTTTGTTATTATAGACACTAGGTACATATAAGCAGTTGTAAATAATTTACATATCTAATTATTTATATAAGTTATTAATTAATATATTGCGGGGACATGCTACGACTACCTATAATTATCGACTTCAATAATAGTTCATACACTTCAAACAGGTTTAGGTTCAAACCAGCTATTTGAAGTGTTTTGAACATTTCTTGACGACGAAAGCAAACAAAATTATGTGATTAATAAAATTCAAATGTTTTTCTTGTAAGACGACCGCATAATTTGATACCTACAAATTCTTGCTAACTTAAGAACGGGTTACTATAGCATTTCCCTGCTGAATAGTAACAGATATTTTAAGTGCTACGTAAGGTGTTATTTACCTATATATCACGGTTTCGCCCGCATGAACAATTCAGATTTTTACAATCTGTTAATAAACTTGAAAACACCTACATTTTAATTAGTCAAACGGCCTGACTTCATCGTTATTCTACCATCTTCAAGTGGTGTATCGAGCGTACATCATAAAGCGTTAGCGTCGGCGAATGCACGATTCTACATTCAAAGTCGTCCTATATGTGGTTCTTATGGTATAAAAAAAAGTTTCGGCTTCATTATACCTATATAATCCAAAGAGTTCCTTGCCATTTTCACTGAAGACATATTGTCAGGAAACATATTTTTAAATGAGAATAGTCAGCCATTATATAAATACTTAACTAAACCCCTAACTAACAATATTAAACTAACTAAAAATATTATCCATATTACCATATATTATGTATACACTGCTGCTCGGCGAACCAAGATCATTAGCGCTGGCGAAATAACAATTCCATATCACCAAAAAACTCTCTTTAACATTTTTATAAGCCTCTTACCAAATGTGCTATAGCGTTTACTGAGAGGTACAAACCGTGTTTATTATAAGCTGCAATATCGATTTGACTGACGCAGCTTTTCGAAGCAAGTTGCTTAAATTTATCAGATCATCCAACCGTTTGGCAAACAATTTACATGGATGTGCGCCGTTAATAGTTGTAATCCGATTTGTGAAATTAGTTCGGAGTTTGCCCGAGCTGACCTTTCCATCTCAATCTTCTGTTTATCTAGTGTAATGTAGATGCTTATCTACCTAAATATAATATCATGTAGATATCTACAGTAACATTTCTTTTTTAAAACTTAGAACAATAATATTACGATATTAATTTATATCTATTTATGATTAAGAATTTGTGTTCATATCTATATTCTATATATATATATATATATATATATATATATATATATCTATTTGTGGGTACCGGTGGTTCAGCGGCTTAAAGCACAAGCGCACCAGCCAGCACCGCTTTACTTTCGGAGGTTACGGGTTTGATTCTAGCATGCTAAGAACATTTATATTTATGAGTATCAATGATAGTTTATGTGACTGGTCGATGGATAATAGAAGCGTAATTTCTGTTACGATTATAGATTAAAGATTAAATTTTTATATATTTTTTTTTATTTTATATATTTATATAAAATTTATTATATATTATATATTAAAGAGATTATAGATTAAAGACAAAAAAATTAATTTACAACTAGTATAATATTAGCTAAGTATATACAATACAGCTAGAATAGTTTAAAAAATATTAATAATATAATATTTTTTTTATTAAACTATTTACGATCTGTATAATACGAGTAAGTAGATATCAACTCACTTATTCAGTAGGTATATATCTAGGTATGGACACAGATCAAGATTTTTCCATTGGTATGATACAACTTTAGGTATACAAACTTTTATGATTTTAATGAACTGAAATATTATATTCGAAAGAATTTTGATTCCTTGCTTGGGTCGTTTGGGCCTATTTTTGATGTTCATATTTACATTTACAGGAACATTACAATGACATGTAACTACCTAAACCTGTCCCATTCTAAAAATATTTAATAATCATACCTGTACTATTCTAAAAACACAGAGATTACCTATTCAATAAGTACGATCTACTTATCAAATACAGTGATTTCTACAATTATGATTTGTTTTAAATAATAATTTGAACTTTATTGATACAAAATCTTTATTGGAAACTAATTATATTATAATCATCTTATACTTTATTGATAATAAACATTAATAAAGTTCAAATTAAACTTAAGCATAAAGTACATTTTTTATTATAAGTTCCACAAAAATGTTTGTCGAAACTGTGAATTCATCATCGAATAAATATTACTGATGATGTTTGCAATAGAAAAAGTTAAACTTTCGAGTATTTATAAAATTGCGAATAACAATGTAGACGTATTTTTTAAATGGTAATTTCGTTTCATTCATTTCATTCATTCATGTCTCCATTTGCTTTATATAATCTGTGCAATTCGTCTCGTCTCGTCATTCTCCTAATGTCATAATAATGCTTCGCTATCTTGTATTTTATATTTGTTTGTAATTTTAATGCAATATTAATATTATTTTATTTGTATTATTTCTGTTACTATTCCTTTTTTTGTCACGGTATAGTAATTAATTTGTGATACAGAAATGTGTGACAGTGATGATCCCGGCGACCACAGCCGCTCAGGCATGGATTTAACAGGGTTTCTTTTTGGGAATATTGATGAAAGAGGTCAACTGGAGGATGATGGTCTGCTTGATGGGGACTCTAAGCGAATGCTCTCCTCTCTTACGCGGCTAGGACTCGGGTCCATGCTTTCAGAAGTCTTGGAATCCGAAGAAGCAGTTAAAGAGGAAGAAGAAAAAGGTTTGCTATCTTAATCCAAAATTACTCTTCAATACTGTACTATACTTTAATACTATTTATATACTTAATTCTAGAATAGTTTGGTGTAGAGATTTTCGGATCTCATATTTAGGTCATTTTATGATACTACAAATGGCTCTGCAAGATATTAATCAGCATGAAAGTAATTTGTAAGATCTTACTTATTTCCAAAGATATAAATCTGTAACAAGTAAATAATAACAATGTATTTGTATCCTAAAGTGTGCTGCCTGTGTGAAATGCAGCCAATGTTATGCTCCCCTAAAGTAGCTTTCTATAGATGAAAGAGTTTTTTAAATTCAAGTATTTTTCAGTTTATCCACACACAAAGAAAAGTTTCTGCTTTATAGTATTAAGTTAAATATATGAATTTCTGAAAAGGTTATCTTTTGTATAAGGATATTGCATGTATTTGAAATTTGTAGAATTTGTTTGGTCTTGGTGGTGTAACAGATTAGCACATCAATTTATTTTTACTGTCGATGAGTGTGCGTTAAATTCCTCAAACAATACAGAAATTTATATAAATAGACATGATGTTCATATTAGTTTCTGTGTACACTATGTATTTTATGTGTCATCACAAAAAATAATTTCGTTTTGAGACAAATACTATATTTTAAAATATAAATAAAAATATATGTCACTTTATAAACAGAGTGAGTTTATTAATATAAGTAGTTGTATCATTATTATCTTTTAAATTGCGATGTTAATATTGTTTGTTTTAATAATTTATTTACAGATTACTCAGAAAAATCTCCATCCGCTGTGGACTTCTTTGATATTGATGATGCTGCAGAAGACTTGAAAGTAAGAGCAACATCGGAAAATAAGACTATATAAACAAGCAATATGATTTTTCCTCATTTATATATTGCATAATCTAAACTGATAGTTCTTATAATAATAATGTTTATGTCTCTAGTTGCTTTATAAGAGACCTTGTCAGAAAAAAATTAGTCTTTTTATATTTCAATGCTTCTTAAAATTAATTATCATATTGAGATTGACTTAGAAATAGACATTTAGTGTTTTTGTGAAATCTGTCCTTTACTAACTTCCTGTAATAAATATGTGATAATTATTTTATATGTATTAATCAGGTGCAACATACCAACTTTCCGAAATATCCAATATATATTTTTATTTATTGCAGTTTGAGCTATTGCCAGTGGCTAAGAACTGTAGCACTGTAACTTGGATAGATCTATTGTGTGTGTGTTGTATCTTGCATAGATTGTTGTGTGTAAAGGGTGACCTTTTTCAAAGTTTGCTACCTAGACCTGTCAGGGACAAGAATTGAAGTATATTCAGTATATGAAAATTAAAGTAATTCTTTAATTTCAAATTGAAGTATATCTAGGAGTGGTGGTTTTTATCTCCTCAGGAGAGAGTGTAAACTATACTCTCTCTAAAGGAGATATTTTGTTTATGCATGGAGTACAACAACATAGGATGTTTACTGGGGTTTCCTCCTCAGCTTGGCGGAATGTGCAGATTGTTGTTAAGCTCAGGCTTAATTTTCCCATGTGTTTAATCAATCTGCAGTGTCTGTAATCAGTAAGGGCTCTGGTCTACGGGCTCATAAATCATATATTGCTTTTAATCAATAGCAATAGTCTATTGGAGTATTGATACAAGTAGCCCATTATTAGGGCTTTTATATGTACTAATTAATCCTGTCATATTTAAATTATGTACGTTGTATCACACTACTATTTATCTGCATTCAAAACTGTATATTACAGGTCTCCCTCACCTTTAACTTTGCAGAGTACCATATAGTAAAATAATATAGTACATAGATTAATTATATAAATAACCCAAGGACATAATTTTAGCGGTACATTCTTATACAATTTATGACGGAATCTTACTGTATTGTCTATATTATATATTTAAAGTATTATTAATATTTATGTAAAGGAGTTCTGGAAGTCTATTAATTCTTTTCACACAATATTACATGTTATTTACTTATATATTTATACGAATTTGGTATTTTTATGCACTAGTGGCACAGATGGTAGTCAACACTGATATGTTAAAAGCATGGGAAATATGGTTAATTACTTGTGTGTTTGGTTAGGTATCTGTTTTAACACTAACAATATTGCTATGCTACAAAAAGGTAGGATAAAAAAATAGTTATTACTAATAAATCATCAATCAATCAATTTTGCATTAAATATTCCCACTGCAATGATTTATTAATTTAATCATTCATGTGTATGAGTAAATTAATAAATCATTGCAGTGGAAATATTTCATGCAAAATTTGTAGTCATGTATGTGTGTGTCATATGTGTGTGTCTACAAGTAGTATACATAGTTGTGACCCAAATATGAACATTTCATACTTGTATAATGATAGAGTCAAGAGAGATGGGTTAGTATCTCAAAATTTTGTTCTAATATATGTTATTACTTATTATAAATTTGCACTTTCTTATGTAGTTGTGGTGTTATGAATTGTTGGGCATACCAAAAATGTAATATTGCATTATTATGTAAATAAGTAATAGTATCTGTGTTTAAAAACATTATTTAGTATAAATAATGCATTGCATTTTGAACATTTTATTGTCTGCTCACTTAACTTAAAAGAAAGGAACAGACAATGGAGTGCAATATTTAAAATAAGTTTTCATGAAAATTAAATTTGGTAAGCACAACATTAATATAAAATGTGTTTGTATTTCACCTTTATGTGTTGTTCTAACATTTTGTGTTGATACTAATAGGAGGTAGAAATAAGCACTAACCAAGAAGCACCTGAAGACACAGATGTAAAAACAGAGGTAACCGAAACGGCAAATAATGATTTGACTCCTGAGGTAGACCCTTTGAGCGATTGTCCACAGAAAGAAGAAGAAGTGGTCAATGAAGAATGGACGCAGGAATCATTCGTTGAAAGTACACAACCAAATAATGACGATGGTTATGAGGGTGATATGGAGGGAGACGGCGGTCTTATGCCACCACCATCCACTGTTCCGTAAGCTATTTTGTCTATTATATGTCTAACGGTAACTAAAATCTTCAATGATTTACTGAGATATTATAAAATTTAGGAAAGGCACCATACCTCCAACCATACACCTCGCATTATATAAGGTGTCAGTTACTGGTACAGGATATATTGACAAACTATCCATAAAGAAAAAATATGATTCCTAAATCATGCAATTACACCTCTTTACTTTATTTATTTTACAGATTTATTGAACATTTACAGTTTAATATTAATTAGTCATATATGTGAGTAGAATATTGTATTGTAAATTATATATATCCCGATTCATTTAAAAATCATTTAATATAATTTCTTATAAACAACTAGACACAAGACTAGGTTTTAAATAAGTAATCGGTAATTTTTCAAATTAAATTTCCGGGCATTGATTATTTTAACTAATTTAGTATTTACGTATAAATAATAAGCGGCTACACTTTTATTAACCATAATTTATCACATTTAAGGCAAGCTAAGAATGAAAAACCTAAGAAACTGGAAACACCCTTAGCTGCTATGCTGCCCTCCAAATATGCAAATGTTGATGTTACGGAGCTTTTTCCAGATTTCAGACCTGATAAAGTGAGTATATATATTGATTGTTATTCCGATTACACGATTATTATTTCAGGGTAGGCCGAGGTTCATCATAAATCTAAGTCGCGTCGTAGTGCACTTGCAATGCCCATATTTCGATGAGAATAATTTTGAGGAAGGGTTGAGCTTATGGTCTTTAAAAAGGGTTATCGGTGTTTCCAGCACCGAAAAGTTAATCAGAAATCCCAGACTTTTCCGACTTACTGAGTCGGTTCAGCAAATTGCTATGATGTAATGAAAGAATATTTGTAGTAATATAACAATGAGCAAATGTACTATACTTTATTTTTTTCTAGGTATTATTGTTTTCACGTCTCTTCGGACCAGGCAAGTTATCCAGCTTACCGCAGATATGGCGCGGCGTGAAAAAACGTAGGAGACGGAAACGTAGCGGCAGTACCAGCAGTGACACCGCGCCGCCCGACAATCAAGAGACTCAATACGCTAGCGACGACGAGGAAAAGTTTCTTAAGTAAATATTTATTTATTTGCTTCAAGCAATATTATTTATATAACAATATTGTCCCATATTATATATACCTGAAATACTAATCTATGTGTATATAAAATAAAATAATATATTTTATAATATGTATTGTCTTTGCTATTACTACAGTCAGGATTCTCAGGATCTGGTTTATTGTATGTGTACAAACTTTAGGTCAACAATCATGCTTCTGCCCAGTTATTATCGCCTGAAAGTTAAAACACATAGCAGTTTTTAGAGTTGCAGAGTAATATAAATATTATGGCTAATATAAATACTATCACTATGTGACGCAAATAGCGTCTGTTTGAAATTAGATACTAAATATTCATGTGACAAGTCCTTAAAATACTGTAATCGTTATGAGAAAATTCAGAAAACACTACAAAACTCTAGTAGTGAAAAGTTTATGTATATGGAGCGGATGCTTTTTACTCTCAGACGTTCCGTCAGCTTGTTTACCATTCCAGTTACAAAATATGGTCTGTTCTGACTATTAATTAATTGTTAATAATAATAAATAACTTGGACAATTAACAGCGCATCTGCGCTATTAATTGCGCATCTGCGCTGTTATTTGCGCATCAGCGCAACAGCGCCTTCTATTCTTATAAGCAGATCTTGTGTAATGGGTACTAGACAACTAATAGATACTTTTTTGTAGATACATACAGAATATACAGAGAATATACTCATGAATACATTCCACACCGTCTCGAACCCGCGACTATTAAAAGTAAAGGGTATGCTAAAACGTTAGATTACCAAGACCGTCTATTGTTACTCTAATTGCCTTCTTTCCATCTATCTATATCTATATTAATGTATCGAAATTAATTACATTTTTATATTACTCAGACCAATGGAAGAAAGTCAGCAATTATCGAACGAGTCGTCCACCCAAGGCTCGGGTGATAAGACGCAGCGACCAACTCCTGCTCACTGGCGGTTTGGGCCTGCGCAGGTTTGGTACGACATGCTGAATGTACCCGAAACCGGCGACGGGTTCGATTATGGTTTTAAACTTAAGGTAAAAATAATTTATTATTAAAATTAATTGCCATTTATTATTGATATTATAATAATGTATCATTATAACGTGTTGTCCATGATGCTGTTCATATATATAGACAACTTACCATCAGATTAGGGAAGTGTTTGCCAATTCTGTAACATAGAAAAAAGTGCAATGACGTGTTTAATGTATGTTTTTTTGATCTAATGTTATAATTATTAGCCTCCATCTCCTGAGCGTGAAGAAAAAGAAGAAGAAAAAATACAAGAAAGTGCCAGTTTAGATAGCGGTGACAGTGGATTTCCTGATGACGCGTTCCTGATGGTCTCTCAGTTACAATGGGAAGATGACGTTATATGGGATGGAAGTGAAATTAAACACAAGGTATGTAATATTTATTTGAATACATTGTTACTCTGTATTCAAATAAATTATTAGCATACAACGTTATAATTTTATTTTCTCATTGCTTTCTTGATTTAATTGATTGATTTTAGAAATATGAAAGCGTAGCGGTTTTTGTATTAATTGCCGCATGCATTCTTATGTAAAATGTGAATACTATAACTATCAGATGGCAATTGTGAGTAGCTTTGACGTGGTCTAGTGTTTTGAGTAGTCATGCTCACTAAAACTTGTGGCGGCGTGGTGGGCCGGGTCATTGGGCTCCCTAAAATATGGTCGAGCGCAGTGATGGCTGGCTCATCCGTCATACTCGTGAACGGGTGCTGCTTGTAGGGACTGGTCTGCTCTAATCACTATGACTGATTTCCTCTTATTAATTGTTTAACCAGTTGGTTATGTGTTCAATATTTTTTCTTTTTGAGTATTTAATTGAATTAGTGCTAATTGGTGGTTTGTATTCACACACTTAAACTTAAAAATGTAAAGTAATAATAAAATTATTTAAAAGAACAACACGCAAGTTTCTTGCTCGTTCTTCTTGTGATGAGACAGCTTTCCGAACGAGCGGTAGATTAAAAAAAAATGTAATGACTATTCAAAAGTGCTTCAATGTAAGTTTATTTGAATAAATGATTTTCTATTCTATTCTATTCTATTCTATTCTGTATTTATTTTGAATATAATTTGATGCATAATACATGTTATAATAGTCAATATGGTATTAGGTATATGTGAGCTCTCACTTATTATGTTTTATGTATTGTATTAACAGTAGCTTATATTATATTTTTTTGCAATTGTCCCTTGCTGAAAAATATTTTATTAAAATTGTCTGTTACCAAATACAAATTTAGATTACAAAGGCTCCCAAATGAGCTCGCACGCCCCTTAAAGTGTTGTGGAATAGAATGTTGTAAAATATTTTTAAAACTATGGTGTCAAAGTCAGATAGAATATATATATACTATTTTTTTTCTAGAAAATATCAAGACTATTCCCATAGAGGCCGAGGCCATTAAATATTATTTAGAACATACTAGTGTATAAGATTACTGATAGAGACCGTGGTGTGGTCTCCATCAGTGGTCTTGCGATTTGACACCTCCTCACTTTCGATGGTTGAGAATTTCGTTCCTCGCAGAGTACAAATATTTGTAGGTATGAGTATAGTATTGTTCTAGGTGTTTTCTATATATATTATGTATTTACAAAAAAAAATGTATAAGTATATCAGTTATCTAGTACCCATTACACCAGCTCTGCTTTGCTTAGGGCTAGATGGCGCTGTGTGAATTGTCCTGGGTTATTTATTATTATATGTGTATTATTAAATATTTGTAGGTGCTAGCCCGTTTAAACAGTAAGAGTAACGCGGCGGGCTGGGTGCCGACGTCGGTGAGCCGCACTGCGCAACAGTTCTCGCATCCAAGGCCACAAGCGCCAACGCCTTTACAAGCGAAACCGTCTACGTGAGTTTATATACTTTTTTGTATACTACGATTGTGGGAAACAAGCATATGTGTACTCATATATATACTAGATACATATATCTTATGTATTATTTAATTCACCATAGACACGTTATGAGTATAGTCTGTTTGAGTGTAGAGAATATTAACTACAATTGACATAGTATGCTACTACAAATAACTCACATTATGATGATGTATTTGATTCGTAAAATACATGAAAAACTACATTTCATTCGAAAGTAATGTACCTAACTATATAAAATTATTTCATGCTTGAAGGAAAAATTCAACAACTATTATAATTAAGCACAATACATTTTTTTTTAAATTATGTAAGTAGTAATGTATAATACGATTTCTATAGAGCGGCGACCGGATCTAATTCGCAGCCGGGTGGGACTGCCGGTGAAGGCGAAGATAATACCTGGTACAGCATATTTCCGGTCGAAAATGAAGAGCTGGTATATGGCACGTGGGAGGACGAAGTCATATGGGATGCGGAGAATATGAATAAGATACCCAAACCTAAGATATTGACTTTAGATCCTAATGATGAAAACATAATTCTAGGAATACCTGATGATGTAGATCCATCAAAAATTACCAGAGGTGAGAATAGTTTTAGTATTTTATCAGTCAATAATAAAAAAGTTTTTAATAATTCATTAGATATGAAATTTAAAAAGTACTAGTATGTCATGACCAGATCAGAGAATCTATCATATAGCAATGCAATATACAAATAGTTGAATACCTAAGATAGTGTCATCCTACAATAGTCAATGTTTACTACCCATCTAAACACTATAGAATAATCTTTACAAACTTAAAATATATGATTAGTGTATAAAATACACTAATAATAACTTAATATTAGTTATAGTCTGAATGCCGAACCGTAAACACTAGCTTGCAAGCTATATTCAAAATAAATGAAACGCATTTAATTGACTGATGATACCTGTGGCAAAACACGTATCGCAATATGGGTGTAGATTAAATAACAGTAAAAAATTAATCACTAATAGAGATTCGTAATGCTTCTAGTGGTGAAGGTCAGGTTTCCGCAATTATACTGATAATTTGTAATCTTATACTGCGAATGGTATCGAAATTAACGAAAATAATAAATCCTTTAACCCTTCGAATGTTGACACAGATCTGTGCACCCCTGTTAAACCGTATTACCGTCTTGCCACAGATCTGTGCCCGCAAAACCGTGACTTCTTTTTATCCAATTTAGTCCTTATTTAAAACAAAAAGATTGAAACGCATTTGAAAAAATACAGCTGGCACGCGCATACCGCCTCTTCAGTTTCGGTCGCTGCGACAGACGACAGACATAGGAAAGGTTAAATAATACTTATAATAGATATTATTTAATATTCCACATTTGTCAATTTGTGGCCCTTAAATTTAATGTGTGGTACCCATACGAATGTAGGTAATAAGATACTTCTTTATGATTTTTTTAAGGACGATAATATAATGTTGCACCTGTGAAGGATGATAAAATGAACATGAGGCAGGTCAGTTAGCCCATGGTCACAAATTCATCAGGAATTTATCAGTATGGTTTTCAGGGGGTACCGTGTGGAGGTCAACCTGACAGGTACATTTCTAGTAATGGCGTAATAATTCCACATTACTAACAATCCCCTTCCCTCACTACTTTATGATTAGTATTAATTGTACGACCTGACTTTATCAGTGCACATAAAGATAAGCTTTAAATCATTATATTTTAGAACGAGGTCCGGCGCCCAAAGTGAAGATCCCACATCCACACGTAAAGAAGTCGAAGATATTATTAGGAAAAGCTGGAGTAATCAATGTATTACAAGAGGACGCACCGCCGCCTCCGCCGAAATCACCCGATCGTGATCCGCTGAATATTTCTAATGATGTGTAAGTTGTATATTATTTTATATTTATATAAAGTTGTTATTTTCGTCTGACCGTTTCGCCGCTTTTAATCTACATAACAGATTTTAAGACAATTTTTACTGTCATTTTAATAATTACGGAAGGTTTTTATGTATGAATACCATACATACTTATTAGTCATTCGACATAATTGGTTATACCATCCTCATAGAGCCGGGCGACGGGATGTCAATATATAATTGTAATAATAATATTTTATGTCACTGCACGACGCGTTACTTTAACTCTGATGACGTATATATTGTTTGTTTGTCAAGGAATTGTTGTTTACAATTATAATAATTGGTTTTATTAAAAAACTTCGCAAATGAAATAATATTGTTTTTTCCAGATACTATCAACCCAAATCCCAGAATCCTCGTTTAAAAGTTGGTGGCGGTCAGCTAATACAACACAGTACCCCCGTTGTAGAACTTCGGTCTCCATATATACAACCTCATATGGGGCCGGCGAAATTGCGTGCGTTCCATCGACCTGCGCTTAGAAAGATGTCATACGGACCGTTGGCTACGCCTGGACCACATCCTGTGCAGCCATTGTTGAAATACATCAAGAAGAAAGCTAAGGTAATCTGTGGTACAAAATTATTTATTTGGATAACTTAGTGCCCTAGATATATCCAGAGGTAAACTTTGCTAATATGTAAATTGGTCAACCAAAGTCAAGTTTGAGTTTTCGCAAGACTAACGAATAGCAATTGACTTTTATTTTCATACCTATAAAACGGGTTTTAGGTCATAAACGCTACAACATCGGGTTTTAGGTCATAAAATCATTGTTTTCATATATATATAATTTTAATATTTTAATATTAAATATTCTGTTTCTAATAAGTAATGAGTATTAGGCAAATGAACATTTTATTGAGTTATATTTTTCTTAATAGCAACGCGAAGCTGAACGTTTAGCATCAGGAGGTGGTGATGTATTCTTTATGCGGACTCCAGACGATTTAAGCGGACGGGATGGCGAGCTAATACTAGTGGAATTCTGTGAGGAACATCCACCTCTTCTTAGCCAAGTTGGTATGTGCTCCAAAATCAAGAACTATTATAAAAGGACTGCCACCAAGGTTAGTTTAATGTAGTATACAAATAAGTAAAACATATATTAATTTTATTAATATAATACATTTTATGACTTCAATTATAATATAATAATTATGCCATTGAACAACTATGATCCATACTAATATTGTATATTGGAGTGGGTGTGTCTGTTTATTTGATATCTTTTCACGACTAAACGGCTATATTGTAGATGTTTTGGTGAATATATAATTATATGAATACAGTATGGAAGGGACCACCCCATACTAGATATAAATATGTATGTTCTGTGAAGTTCACCAAAATGCAAACAAATTGTATAAAAACGAGAATTAAAGAAAGAGCGACTGATGTTTTATGACCTATCTCGTAAAGTTTGAATTAATATATTTGTGTTTTTTAATTTTATAGGATGCAGGGCCGAAATCGTTGAAGTACGGCGAAGTGGCATACGCGCATACATCGCCATTCCTTGGTATTTTGATGCCTGGCGCTACTCAGCCTGTTGTCGAGAATAATATGTACCGAGCACCCATATACGAGCACGCGTTATCACAGACTGATTTCCTTATTATCAGAACTAGGTAATCTTTACTTATAATAAAACTGTAAAAGTCGAGTCGAGGCGAAAACTATCCGTTTGTATAATAAAGTTTGGCGTAAAAGCAAGTAGTGAGGATACAATTTTCACAGCATATATAGTTAAATATGGATCACCATATAGGCTAAAGAAAGCTTATAAAAATAGCTGGGTACAACGTCTTCTTGTGAATATATAATAAAAAAAAATAAGTACATTATAGTGGGCTGATACAGAGGTAATTCTTGAATGAAACCCTTATTATTTTGACAGTATACATTAAAGTTATTATATTTTTATCAAATGGACTGTAATATTTCATATTTCATGTTTTTTTTTTCTATTTCAGGCAAGCATATTACGTGCGTGAGGTCGATGCTTTGTTTGTGGCGGGTCAAGAATGTCCGCTTTATGAAGTTCCTGGCCCCAATTCCAAAAGGGCAAACAATTTTGTCCGAGATTTTTTACAAGTAAACTCTCTTTTAAATATCTATTTGTCATAATATTTACTAGTAGTTTTCTTAGTCGTTTAAAATATTTAAATATGATTTTAGGTATATATTTATAGGCTCTTCTGGAAATCCAAAGATAATCCACGTCGTATCAAAATGGACGATATAAAGAGAGCTTTTCCATCACATTCAGAAAGCTCAATCAGAAAAAGGCTGAAGTTATGTGCGGATTTTAAAAGAACTGGAGTGGATTCGAATTGGTTTGTTATTTGATATATTAATTTCTCAGATTTTTTATTCAAACTTGAAAATTGTCGAATTGATATATATTATTTTAAAAGAAATCTTATACTTCTATTTTGCATTAAAAACATCTAATATTCTTGTTGCAACATTGTTATTATTTAATCTCGTATACAACAGTACATTAAAATATACTGAAAATAAAACTATACCTGTAATTCTTAAATTTAAAGGTATTACTATTATTTATAGACAACAGCAGAGTTTCACTGCCCTTACTAAATGGATGATATTGACACAATTAATATTTTTTAATTCTGTTATACATAGTAATTGTATCAGAATATTTTCGAGATAAACAATTTTTATTATTAAAGGTGGGTGATAAAACCAGACTTTCGATTACCGTCCGAAGAGGAGATCCGCGCTATGGTCTCCCCAGAACAGTGTTGCGCCTATTTTAGTATGGCGGCCGCTGAACAAAGGCTTAAGGACGCAGGATATGGAGAGAAATTTATATTTACACCGCAGGAGGACGATGATGAGGAGATGCAATTAAAGATGGATGACGAGGTTGGTATAGAATAGTAGACATAATTGTTTTCAAAGAACATGTCTGTGATATGCTTGTCATGTGTACTATTAAATTATGGAAAACAAATAAATTATCAAAGATCATTAAAGCTCAAGTAGCATAGATCATATGATCAACTAGTGATATTATATGTAAACAAAAAACAAGTTATATCAATTTTAAATTGTTGTAATCTTGACATAAACATGTAAAATGATAATTGTTTTTGGTGATTATGAAAAGCACAAAATATATATATGTATATAAAATATGTATAAAGCAGTGGATATCATCTGTTGCTTAGATTTTTAGATTCCATTACCTTAAATTCCATGTTATGTGATTGCACAATTTTACTTGTACATTCTGTTAATAAGTATCCAATTTAAAGGTAAAAGTGGCGCCCTGGAACACAACTCGAGCTTACATACAAGCTATGCGCGGCAAGTGTCTTCTCCAACTGACTGGTCCAGCGGATCCTACGGGCTGCGGCGAAGGTTTTTCATACGTGCGGGTGCCAAATAAGCCCACGCAACAGCCCAATGAAGAACAGCAACCTAAACGCACCGTTACCGGAACAGATGCTGACTTGAGGAGGCTCAGCTTGAATAACGCTAAAGCTTTGTTGAGGAAGTTTGACGTGCCGGAAGAAGAGGTAATTGTTATTTTTCGAATTAATGACGAATCTGAGTGTGTATAACTCAATATAAGGGTAGGAGTTGTTAGTATTGGCTCCTTTTATAGAAATATCCGGTTTAACGCTATTCCCTCATGGAAATTATGCTGATAGATACATGGTAAACTAACTCCGTATAATTACCGTTATTCTGAAATTAGTCAAACAAATAAAACTTTTGTTTAGATCAAGAAATTATCTCGATGGGAAGTTATCGACGTAGTAAGAACATTGTCGACGGCTAAAGCTAAAGCTGGTGAAGAAGGAATGACGAAGTTTTCGAGAGGAAATAGGTTCTCTATTGCTGAACATCAAGAAAGGTAAGGTGATTTTATGTGGTCTATAGGTTTGTTCATGTATCTATTGCTAGCTATGTGATAGCTGCTATCTGTAGGAATAATAGACATTATTTCAATTTAAATGTTCCTAGCCGACACGTTTGCAATATATTTAAACTGCTTGATATTCCTTTTTCTAAGATTTTGTTATAAATCCCGACTTTGTAAACAGACCACTGTTTACAAAGTTTACCTCAACTGCATGGGTAGTGGCGGCCTTAGGGGGTGGCGAACAGAGCATAGGTTCTCTAATGACTGAACATCAAACAACCAGTGAGCGGATAACAAATGAACAATTTAATGGCAAACTAACAATATAACCAACACTAAAATATAAATGTAAAATAAGGCATAGTATTCTTGAATCAGCGGAAAATTTCGGCATAATCGTTCGCATTACATACTTTTGACGTAAGACAAAGGGCCTCGTAAAGCCCGGAGCCTCGCAATTGGTAAAATCACCGCTGTGCATTGGCCACCACAGACTTAGCTGTTTCAGTTGCAACATAATAATATTTCGATTGAAATAAGGCAATGGAATCTGTTATTCCATTGATATAAGCATTTCATCTTTGTTTTTGGAATGGGAACGTGAGAGTATCACGAGCGTCATATGATCGCATGCTGTCGTAGTACTGTTCATTTATATAGGCGACAGTTACCATTTACCATGAGGAGTACTGTCTTTGCCATTCTATTACATAAAACAAAGGAATAAACATTAAGCACTTGTAGCACCAGCAAAATACAAATAATAAATTACATTAAGTATATCTATACCCGAATTAAGTACATTTGGTTATGTAATATAATTGGAAATGCGTAGACTAATATAAACAAAAAGGACTTACGAATACAAACAAAGCGTTGCGAAAAATCGAACTAACAACCATCGGAATGATATTCAGTGATTTTAATCGTTACGCTAAGGTCATCAGTGTATTAAAATTGTAAGTAAAATTTTACTTTATTTTAGATACAAAGAAGAATGTCAGCGTATATTTGACCTGCAAAATCGAGTACTACAAAGTACAGAAGTGCTTAGTACTGATGAGGCAGAGAGCTCCGTCAGTGAGGAGTCTGATTTAGAGGAGATGGGAAAGAACTTAGAAAATATGCTTGCAAATAAGAAAACTACAGAACAGGTAAACATTATATTAAAATTATTCGTTATATTATGTTAATAGTCTCGTGGCCTTGTATACTTGATATACCTCCCCGATTTAGACCAAATGTCCATTTTGAAACCACGACGAATTCAAATCAAAGTACATTATTTCTGACTAATTATCCTGTGATGGACAGAATAAATTAACTAGTTCGAAAGACAGAGGTGGGCTCGCCTTATGCCACACGGAATCCAAATATATGGTCAAGTATTACGTACACCACGACGTCCACATTTGACAATCTCTTTAACCTAAGTGGTCGGTCATTAGTATCATTACTATTCAATATAAGTTCATCCAGTCGAAAAATCCATTCCAAAAAGTCCATTAGAAAAGTATCGTATCAGAACCATCGGGCATGTTTTGAATTTACTTCTGTCATGTTCCTAAAATTACAGCTGTCATTAGAAAGAGAGGAAGCGGAAAGAGCGGAACTCCGGAAAATGATTTTAGGACAGTCTGAAAAGAAGCCACAAATTAATCAGTCTGATCAACAGCAAACTTCCAATCAAGGTAAAATCGATTGTCTAAGCAGATCATAAGAATTATATAAATTAAAATAACATGTAAAAACAAATTAATGACGTCATTTGTTTCTCCGTCTTATTTTAACAAATGTTGTTTATTGCATTACAAACTGTAACGCATCTATTATTTTATAGCATCCAAATAGCTGAATATTATACTCGTGAATATATTGTTCATATACTCACGAGTTTATCAGGAAAATTGCACATAACTTGGTCGAGGTAAATACTGTACAAAGATGATACCTGGGTCTCGATATCTCTGTCTCAACTGTTTCTGCCCTAGAGCAGCTTGCTTTATGAGCACATTCTGCGTTCAAATTTGAAGGAAAACATTCGATAGTAAAATTATAGGCAATGGGTGCGTGAAATCTTCCTCAGTCTTCAGGAATGCCATTGTATATAAAAAAATAACATTACTTCAGGTCGTGTGCTGCGTATTGTGCGTACATTCCGTAATACATCAGGGCAGCGGTACACCCGTGTAGAATTAGTACGGAAGGCGGCAGTCATTGAGGCATATACAAAGATACGCTCCACAAAAGATGACGCTTTTATAAGACAATTCGCCACAATGGACGAGACACAGAAAGAAGAGATGAAACGAGAAAAGAGAAGAATACAGGTAAAAATTAGATTTCAAGAGTAACTCATTATTCTTCACCCCATACACAAACGAATAAGTGTTATAAATTCAAACTGCGTGTTTGTCTGTGGTGCCACATCTTCCTAAAAAATTACCGATTTTGATTCTTTTTTTTATATAAAACGTTCTGTGAGCGATGAAGTTCTTAACTATAATTTATGAACTTTTCTTTAGGTGTTTGAAGACTATTAACTATTTTCTAGTTAATGAAGAGATTTCAAATTAGATTTGTTAATTAAATCTTTAATTGTACTTTTTTGTGTTAAATTTAACATTGTTAATATATACTGTTTCAATTTTACTGGTTGTATTCTCTAACATATTTATGATATAGTTTTGCCTAAAATATCTTCGTTTTGAATACTAGTAATTGGGATTTTGTAGTATATTTATTTTTATACTCATAACAGGAACAATTAAGGCGTATAAAGAGGAATCAAGAGAAAGAAAGGCTAGCTGGAAATGTTTCAGTGTCTGCATTCCCAGGCGATAGTAAGTTTTGAAACAAAACTAAGCTAAATCTATACGTATAACTTAAAAAATAGCAAATTTTTGTAACCTTTACAAGGCTGCAATAACATAGAGAGAAGTCTCTTTCCCTTTTTGTGTATATAATTAAGAAATATTCATTACATGAATACATCAAACATATCATGAACATATTTTTGCTATTTAACAGTATTTAATCTTTTATTTCCAAACAATTTTCTTTATTTGATCTACCTACTTGGACTGTATAATAAAACACTCCAGCAATAGTACTAGGTTTTTGGTAATTTTGTATATATGAAAGATACTATTTCAGGTAACATGTCATCAGGAGATTTGGGTTCGCCATCTCCAGGCTTAATACCTTTAGGTCAAATAAAACAAGAGCCAGATTTGCATACGCCTTCACGCCGCCGCGCTAAATTGAAACCGGACTTGAAATTGAAGGTAAATTAATATATATTTTTTAAAAGTGCTTGTTGACGTAGTTTTAGGATCAACATTTATAAGATATATTAATGTTACGATTTCTCAACACTCCTCTATGTTCTAATACGTATAGTGCGGTGCGTGCGGACAAGTCGGCCATATGCGTACGAACAAAGCGTGTCCGTTGTATACGGGGGCAACAGGCGGAGGGCCAGCGTCACCACCCGACCTGGACGGCGATCTACCACCGGAACCTGATGACGACGATCTCGGCTATGTCGACGGCACCAAGCTCACACTGCCTTCGAAAATCATTAAGGTCGGTCATCTATTTCTGAAACCAAGCAGCTTGTATGTATATTACGGTTTGAAATACTAACGAATGTAATAATAAAGATGTTCAACACTGTACTGTGTATTGAGCCATAATGTTTTATTTCACAGAAATGATTGTTATGGTCCCATTGACCTCACTATACCTTCCAGATACACATCTTACATTATATATCTATTAATGATAGTATCCGCTTACCATCATGTGAAATGTTATTTAATGGTTAATGTTGTTATTTAATGGATATGAATGTATAAACGGATCTTCCATAAAATAATTAATTTAAAAAAATGCAAGACGTCTTTATAAGCGGCTTAAATGAATAAATGATTTTAGATTTGATTTGTTCGGTCCGGTCATAATAAGAATATTAGTTATCACTTCCGGTGTTTCGGGAGTGGTGAGCGGGCGGTTAAAAAGGCGGTACTGAACCAGCCGAGTACAGGATCAGAACGGACGAGTCATAATTCATTGTTAACACATTTGATTTATTAAAAAATGTTTTGTGTAGCAATCTGCGGAAGAGTTGCGACGTCGGGGTAGTGGATCGCGTCGCGGCGATTTCCGTATGGGCTTCATGGGCGCGGGTATGGGTCCACGCGGCAAGCGGCGTGGTGGAGCCAGCGAGTCGTGCGACTACCTCGTGCGGCGGCCCGCCGAGCGGCGTCGCACTGACCCGCTAGTGACGCTCTCCTCACTGCTGGAGGACGTGCTGAACCACATGCGTCACCTGCCCGACGTGCAGCCCTTCTTGTTCCCTGTCAATTCCAAGGTGAGGTTTAGGTTCACCATCTCCAGGTCACTGTAAATAATAATAGCCGTGTGAAGATTGTCTGCACACGACATCTAGTCTCAACATAAAATGATGAACATGCGATTGTGTTATGGGTCTATAGTACTACTAGTCTATAAAAAAGGTTAAAAAAGTAGAAATAAATATAGGTATTCCCCAAGTATGGTGCTACCTCTTAAATAAGCATAAGTTAATCGCAATATATATGCATTTTTTTCCCTAGCATAGTTATTAGAATTTAAGTTAGTTTTAAAAACCCGCTTCAAGAGGCTGTCAACCCAGTTACCCTAGTAACCCGACCGACATTGGCGTTAGGGGGGTGCAGAAGACCAATGTCGTGCAGTCTGTTTTTTATTTCAGAGATAAATTTGACAAATGTTGCCACCTTTTTGAAATATTTAAATAGTCCTGTGGCACAATCGGAAATTAATATTCATTACTGATATAAATATCGGTTACACTCAAATAATATGTGGGTGTTCATTAGCGTTCATTTAGCACGCATTGACACAAGATTAATAATGTCGAATTATAAATATAGGATTGTTGTATCAAAATATTTTATTGAGTTATATATATTTTGTTAAAACAAAGGCTAAATGCCTTTTATACTGATGCCTTAATACTGATTTATTGAATAAAAATTCCTTTTTTATTCAATAAATCAGTATCGCAGATACATCACTACTCCGCTAGTATCACAATTTGAAAATTTGACAGTTATATCTGGAAATTTAATTTCCGAGATTAAAAACAGACTATAGAGAACTGATGTAAATACTGGAATTTTTTTTTTTAATACGTACGTAATATATGTAGAAAACACCCAGGTCAATACAAACAATCGTATAGGTGAATACAATTAAACCGCTAGATCACCGTGGGTATCAATATACTAATAATACCGCTACAATGTCTATAATTGTATTTATAATTTCATAGACGATTTTACGTCAAAGATATATTCGGATTTATTACTGTGTTTATTGAACAGATGGTAGCAGATTACTATCGTATAGTGTCACGGCCTATGGACCTGCAGACCATCAGGGATAATCTACGACAGAAACACTACCAGAGCAGGGAAGACTTTTTGGCAGACGTCAACCAAATTGTTGAGAACTCAACTCTGTATAATGGTAAAAGACAAATTGATTGTTGATCCATTTATTTAATGTAATAGATTTGAAATGTGTTTTATTAGTAACTATTGTAGCAGTAGTTTATACGTCATTTGTTTGTGAACCGAAAAACTGTGGGAAAAAACAAATATGACCGAAAGCTTTGCAAAAATACGTCATAGAAAATTGCATTGTAGTCATTTTAGCCGCTTTGAATTTAACATGTATCAATGCACCTGTTATAAGTATCTGTACTTTTTTTGTATTTGATATACAATCACAGGGTCTGCGATTTTATGTTCTTTATTTCTTCAGGAACAACGAGTAGTTTGACAGTCGCAGCGCAGAGGATGCTTCAGCGTTGTGTTGAGAAGTTGGCTGAAAAAGAGGATCAGATAATCAAATTGGAGAAACAGATCAACCCCTTATTGGACGATAATGACCAAGTATGTATAGTACAAATAAAATTGATACCTTGTCACTCTTTACTATGAAAGTTGATTAAAACCTTGTTATATTTGTGGGCAAATAATATAAATTTGCTATGGTTCTTAGTTATATCATTGCCGAATCCTAATACGGGATAAGTCATATAAGTATTGATTATGACAATAATTTATCTCAAAGTTTTAATTATTGTGCTAATACTTGTAGGTGGCGTTGTCATTTATATTTGATAATTTGCTGACAACGAAACTAAAAATAATGCCGGAAGCGTGGCCGTTCCTGAAACCCGTCAACAAGAAACAGGTTAAGGATTACTATAATGTTATAAAGAAACCTATTGACATGGAGACTATGGGAAAAAGGATTCAAGGTAAGAATTGTGATAGAGTATGATACGACGATGGAATTTCAAGATATGGAGGCACAATACTTTAGTCTTCAGTCGCGATGTTCATGGTGCTGTTCATGTATGTAAGCTTACTTGATATGGTGCGTACTTAATGATGCTAACCTTGTTCGTCATTCCCTGTCTAGAATCTTTTTTTTATATTAAATCTTAGTTTTATAAAAGGTTAGTCTTATAAAAGGTTCGCATTTAACGCTCCAATTTCCATCGTAGCTTTCAGACAATTTGACAATGGAGTTACCCTTATTAAAAATATGGTAATGTTTGTTTTCGTTCAACTATTCCTCATTTTTACAGCTCATAAGTATCATAGTCGAGAAGAATTTTTACGCGACATACAATTACTTGTGGATAATTGCCGCGCATACAATGGACCTAACTCTCAGTTCACAAGGCAAGCCGAGGAGATATTGAAAGTAACGCAATCAGCATTAGATCAGGTGAGGATTGTAATAGAATAGTATGGTATTTTCGCTCAACAACGCCTCTGATACCTATGCTACATATATATATATATATATATGTATGTTGGAGATAATGATTTTTTTTTAATTGGCTAGTATTAACCTTGAAAAAAGTCTAAAACAATGTTTAACAAACCAGTACGGGCGGAGGTGTACAACAGAATACGTCATTTTGTTGTAACTGAGAACGATATGGTCAAATGCTACTTTTACACTTATAACAGTTTGGCGAAAATGTGAGTCAATTAGAAGCAAATATTGCTCGAGTGCAACAGAAGATGTTAGAAGATGCTGAGCATTCAGATTTAGAGCCAGAGGAGTTGCCGACGCAGTCTGACGAGAAGCGCGGTAGGGGCCGTCCAAGGAAGCATAAGCCATCCACATCGACAACTACTAGTGATGGTATGGCATTCATAATTCCTTTTTTATATAGATAGATCCTGTGAAGAGATAGACATATCCATAAATATAACTGTTTTATTTTTCTGGGTCTTATGTATATTTTTTAAGGTTGTTTCTGGAATTACCTATATTTGCTCACGGCTTACCCTGGTTGGATACCAGTGGAGGATGATAAGATGATCATGAGGTAAGGTCAGTTAGCCGGTCGTGGTAAATTCACCAAGAATTTATCACAATAGTTTCTAGGGGGAATTGCGTGGAGGCCAACCTAACTTAATACGTAGCTAGAGAGAGGAGAGTATCATCATATCACATAACTGACAATCCCTTTGCCCCTTTTTGTATATTTAATATGTATGTTATGACAAAAATATTAATTATTAAAATTTTATTTGGAGGTGCTACGCCTAGGAAGCGTGGCAGACCTAGGAAAGACCAGAATTCCTTAGTGGAAGGTAAGCTTCTTTAATTATCTTTATCATTAATAAGGAAGTACTTTATTTATTAGCAATAACAATATTGTTTCAAACTGATAAAACAAGTTAAAATAACGTGTTATTGTTGCACATCGAACTTTCCCAACAAATATTGTTTTTTTTTTCTTGAAAATAATCGATATAAGAAGCTATGACTTTGAAACAGTGATCCCGCCTGCGTTAACGGTGGATTGAGGTGCGATAATAGATACAAAAGTATGTTTAATTTAAAAAAAATAGATATACGTATTGGTATAATCAGAAGTAATATGGACAATATTAATTTTGTCCATGCGATTTGGATTTTATTACGAAAGGTGAAATGACTGGTATCGCTCGTAAGCAATTAGCACTTATGACTTTATCATTTATCCAGATCTTCAGTACTCTGACAGCGGTAGTTCGGAATTAGAAGAGGTGGAACAGAAAGATGCCGCAGAAGCCATGGTACAACTGTCTGTTCGTCCCGGTACGTATTTAATATTGCATTATTTTGGCTATGCTATGTATATATTTACAAAAAAAAAATGTAAGTATTTATATCACTTGTCTTAGCCACAACTCAAGCTCGGCTTACCGTGGGACTATATGGCGCTGTGTTAATTGTCCAGGGTCCATATTAATTAATTATATACACAATATAATACTCTTTAAGCATTTAAAATAATCCTGATAGTCATCTATTTACATGTTAATTATAATTCTATGTAAATGTTTGAACAGAGGACGATATACCTTCGAGCGATATGCCTTTCGACACGTCAGAGTTCCTAATCAAGCGGGAAGTACCTGATGAGCCTCCACAACCATCTGACGACCTGGTTGACCTAGACCGTGTTGACCCCACAGATTATACATATCCAACTGTTGTTAAGGTAAGGATCTTTTATACCTAGCAAATGTAATACAATTTTAATAAAGAATAGCAATTCTTTATGTCAATTGTTATTACATTCGCGAGCAGCATGACGTTTCATTCCATTCGAGTTATATTTATGATTGAAGTGATTAAATTAAATTAATTATAGACTGACTGGTAGTTAACACCGCAAGGTGTTGACTGACTGGTAGTTAACACCGCAAGGTGTTTCGCCATATGTAAATTTTATTTTTGTTTATTGAAGTTAAATAAATAAAATAAATGATTTCAATTGACTTCGTAGAGAATGGATATTACATTGTATTTTGGACCACCTAAGATTATCAACCAGCTCTAGTAATATTATAAATGAGAAAGTTTGTCTATCTGTCAGTTTATTACTTTTTTACGACTTAACTCAACGGAGATCCATTGAGTGTTGTAATGTTATTAAACGACGAGAACGGAAATAAACGAGCCATACAATGTCGCGCGGGTAAGAGCCCATTGAAGTTATAATTTTGTAATATTAGGAGGAGCCCATTGAACCAGACATGAACATGGATCCTCCAATGATGGATGGCTCCTCAATAGAGCCGCCGCAGTTCAAGGAAGAACCACCAGAAAACTGGCAGGTTAGTAGTTGATTAAATTGTATTGTATTTGTTATAACGAATAAATTATGAATTTCACCTATAATTTATTATAAGTGTCATTTTATAGGTCAGAAACTTTTTATTCTTTTAGTAGTAATCATTATTGCACTTGTAAAAATGGCGGATAATATTATAGTATTGATTCTATATGCATTTTAGTAACGTAATAAATTTCTGAATGCACTCTATTTGACAGGTACGAACAGTTTGTAAGGGAAAATAAAATTGTTGTTTTTTACTATTTCCATGCAATTTCTTCATATTTTTTCATCATTTAAACCTTCCTTCTAGTTCTACAAATATTTGGTTTGGAAACCAAAATTAGACAAAACGGTCCAGCCGTTCTCGAGTTTTAGCGAGATTAACAAACGTCATATAATTTTTATATATATGAAGATTTAGCAGTTGTTTAAAAAATTATCGGCATAGTTTCATTAAATGTTTTAATCAATTTTAGGTAATAATATAAATACATTTATATATCTTGAAATAATTTATGTTATAATTAACAAAAATATTAATAAATATTTACGTTTATCTGGAATTGATTTTTCATATGCGTGAATTAGATAATCTTACATTAAATGCGCCAACAAAGTTTACGGAATTCGAATTTATTTTTTATATTGCAGCCTGATCCTGCCATACAAGTAAGCAAAGATTTGCAAGTAACGGATAGCGAGGAAGAAGCTGAAGATGGACTATGGTTTTAAATATATTATATAAATAGGATGGTTGTAATATGTTATATGAAGATAATAATTATAAAAACAGAATATTATATAGATTCATATTGATTTTTAAAGAAATAAATAAGTATTTGTTCTGAAATAAATAATTTATTATTTTCCTACTATGTAGAAGTACCTCGCTTCTAAAAGGATTAGAAATGGTTACTAAAGGAATGAGAAACCTGGATACGGCTATTAATCTATACATATAAATAAAACTGGTCTTTTATTTTAGAACAATTAAGTTAAATTCCACGCGGACGAAGTCTCGGGAATAGCTTGTTTTTATCTAAAGGAATAGCGCCATCTATGTATTTGAATGCACATTCCTACATGATACTTGTGATAACGAAGTTGCGTACATATTAGTAGGGTCTCAAGATACAAGCGATTTAGTTTTCACATGTTTTCGCTAGATGTAGTTTTAGTAAAGAAAGCAACAACATGTATATATATCAATATCAATAATCTCAGGACAATTCACATAACGACATTTAAACCCAAGTTAAGCTAGCTAAAGCTTGTGTTATGGGTACTAGATGACTGATACAAACACATAGATATTTTTTTCGAAAATACATACATATTATACATACATGGAAAATACCTAGACCAATACAAACAAACAATCGTAATCATGAATACAAATGTTTTTATTCCGTGCGAAGAATCGAACCCGCGACCATCGGACGTAAAGCGGTGTGCTAGACCGCTAGACCACCGAGGTCGTCATATATATATTTACACATATATATCCCAGATATAATAGTAATTTTTGTTTGATACGACTGTATTCCAGTGTGCCATTTGAATATAATGACATTAAGTAAACATTACAACAAGCTGTTGCCCGACTTCGTCCGTTAATTTTTTATTAAAATATTTTTTTTATATTAATAATAGTCAAAGACTCGTAGAAATCGGTGCAACAGTTTGAGAAATTAGCAAGAGCAAACAGACAGACAGAAACTAAAATTATTCAAGTTAATTTGATGTACGATGTATTTGCCTTATATAATTTTCATATACATTACCTACCTATAGTGAAAATCTTTTAATTTGAAATTACAAACACTTGAATTTTATTTATGTCTAAGTATAAATTTTGTTCACATTCAATCACTGCAAATCTTCTTCTATTACATATTACATATATGTTTAGACACTTGACGTAGTTATGAACTTTAATTTTTTTTTTTATTCTATCCATACCATTGACGGTTATTGCATTAACTCGTTATCTTTTAATAGTATGAGTAGTATCTCCTATATTCATATGGATAAGTCAAATACTTAACCAGGGGGAAGGGGATTGTTAGTAATGTGAATTAATAACCGTTCCAAGCAATGTCCCACTTCTGGTTGACCTGAAAACCATCGGTTTATTCTGGAAATCATCGTGATAAATTCTTAGTCAATTTGTCACGATGGGTTAACTGACCTGACCTCATGTTCATCTTATTATTCTCCACTGGCGCCTGGCAGCGTAAAGCGCAGAAAGGTGCACCATTTCATTATCATCCCTTAAAAATACGTAACCATATACATATTTAAATTACTACCAGAGGAAATTTAAGGCACTCTACTCGTTTTGCCTACCCTTTTAGTGAGTGAGGAGGATGGGGTTAATAACATTAGTAATGCTGTGTATTAGATGTGTATGCAGTTATTTCTAGTCAAATAGGCCAAATTGTAATATCAGAATTTAATGTTTACTTACATAAAAAAAAAACCTATTTAGATTGTCAACTGTCGACGTCATGAGGAACGTATTACTGGACATACGTATTTACATTGCGCCAAGTAAGTATATATGTATATATGAATCTAACGTAACAAGAGGCTTTTATCCGCAGTTTCTCGGATTTATATTTTTTTTTATTGGTGTTGTTATAAATATATATTAAATATAAATTGACATTAAGATTTCGGTGTTCGGCAGATTTGTACTAACATCTGGAGCCTATAGGCTAGTGAATCTAGGCCGCCATACTTTCTTAAAAAAACAATATCTATTTATATATTATTTACTTCAATCGCAGTGTTATTTATCTAAAAATACGTAACGTTTACCCGTGTGTCATGATTTATTCAACAATTTGGCGGGGTGTTTCAAGCCCCCATCGCCCTACGTCCGTACGATGGCGGAGCCCTATTTTTTAAATCGAGAGAACACGTTTGGTGGGCGATGGTCATCATATATCACTCGCACGCTTAATGCGCGGTTTAGAACGTACAAACCTCTAAATATAACATTTATTACCACTCGTGTGCGGACCTCAACCTAAAAGGGTACCGGGCACGGAAATGTGATGCAGCTGAATATAAATAGAAACCGTAACGTTGTAACGACACTTCGTTACAACATTACGGATTTAATTTACATTCATATCACAATATATGATAAGAATTTTAGCAAATATTATTTAAGCGGAGAGGAACTGAATAATTTTTGAAAAGGCCTTTTTTGATTGTAAATCAATTAAAATAGATATATGAATAATATTTTAAAGATGGAGTAAACAGTCACTCACACTAATTAAAAAAATGTTCCAAATGAGGCAATATACATTCTATGTGGAAATTACCTTCAAAATTAATAAATGCAAACAATAGCTTCCTAAAAAGTATTCTGTTCTAAAAGGTAGCCTGCATGCACATACAACATTAAATCAACAGATATTTTTTTTTAATATGTCTATTCAATCATTTGTGAACTAAACATAAAATAAGATATATTTTGCCGATTTCTCTTTTACCTCAAAAGAAAAATTTCTGTAAGCCTCTTCATATATTAGGTTAAGTATGTACTTACATAATAATACTTACGTTCTGTAGGTATATGATCAACGTTCTTTATTACCTTTCTTTGTGGCACAATAAAAGGTAAGTATTTACTTAAAGGTTTGTTTTGAACGCTTTGAAGTGTTTGACATGGCTAAATCTTCTGTATAACGTATATTTGAATAATTTGTCTCTGGAAGATATAGAGGTAAATCGTAAAATTTACTGTACCCCCGTGGTACTATTACACGCTTTAGACTAAAATATAACGTAACAACGCATACATTGTTATTTTGTGACAGATATGGGAAATATAAAAGATAAAGTGGGATGAATTTGGCGGACTAGCAGTTTAGTACACCACTTAACTTCGGATGGTCGCGGGTTCGATTTCTCACACGTTGATTCATCTGTTAGAGTGTTTTTATTGGTCCAGGTCTATTCTATTTATATTAAGTATCTGTTTATAAAAAAATGTATTTAATTATTTTCAGTCTAGAACACAAATGCTTCTTAGTTTGATACCATGGCACTGTGTGAAGTATCCTGGATTATTATTGTGGCAACTTAAATATACGCAGTCGAATTCCAAAAAAACTACCAATCAATGACATGCCACAACTAGGTGTATAGTGATTATATAAACTATTTTAGATACCTATTCTTACTAGCAGTAGACTTTGTACAATGTCGTGTCTCTCTATCCTTTTCAGCCAGAAGAAATACCGCTTCTCTTTAAACTAAAATTAAAAAAAAAACATTTGGAGGCTTTAGATCTGGGAATTAAATTGTAGGGTACAAAACAGCTCCACCTCTTTATAACATTGGTATAGATATCTATACATATATATCATATATTTAACTTCACAATTTTATATAAAATAGTACATATTTATAATATGGGACATTAGTAGCCTAAAATAAATAACACTACTTGACAACGATTAATAGAGACTACTACATGAACAAGTAGGTATTAGTTATAAATGGTCATATTTGTATATTTTACTGATAAATGCAGTTTAATTTATATCCTAGCAATTGCTGAGATTAATATTGAACTCAGAAATTAACGTACGTATTTCGTAGTTTCACTATGTACAAAGTGTAATGAAACGTTCGAAGTGCACCTTTGGGATTTTCAATGAACTGCTAGTCATATAGAGTAATAAACCAGATTTTACGCACAGTATATGGTATATATGCGCATATCGGTTTAGTATTTCTCTGAGATTAGTTTGCGTAAACCAACCGTCAAAAATTCTAACAGTTTGGAGTTCTATTATATTGATGAAGTTCCGCAATAATAGTTTTTCTCGCATATCTTCCATCTACACAGTTATCACTTACATTTTTATTATATGTACAGATTTATTTGCAATTAGTTGCATTTCATTATCATATTAGGAATTGCTTAAATATCATAAGTAAATAAGTAGGTAGATATTATCGTGATCTGACCTTTAAGATTCATTACGCCTTTTTTGTTATTTAATCAGTTCTTTCGTCCTGCGTGTGATTGATAAGAAAAACGTAGTTTTAGATTGATCACTTTGTTACTCAGGTTTTTTATCGACATTATAGATGTATCACTTTTACATCAGAAGAATAGTTTCACTTAAGCATAGGTATGTAAGAATTATATAATGACAATGTAATTTCATTATATGACTGTGTAATTAGTGGTTAGCTTCGTTATGATTGACCAATAGCTTCATTATATAGTTTTTATACCATGTAGGTGGCATACAAGCATACGTCCCATCTGATGATAAATGGTTAATGTAGCCTATGGATGCCTATCATAGTATAACATGGTTATAATTCTCAATTGAATAAAATTGAATTGATTTGAATGAATTGACAAGGGGCACGGTATCTTGTCCCTATGGAAAGAGCTATTTCTAAATTAGAATTATTATTTACAGCATTATTAAGGCCCGATAATTATAATGATTTTACACATTTTATTATACGTAGTTACCTTCGAGTATGAACAATCTGCCGAATTTCAGTAAAATATTGACACAACAACTTATGGATATTGTTTCCAGTATTCCTTCTCTCTCTCCTCTGTAGGTAGTGCATTGTTCATTTAATCTCTTATGAAATTCTGAAGGTGAAAAGAGACGCACATACATTTTATCTTATTATATTATTCACACTCACACCCACACATGTCGCATATCTAACCCTTCATCACACGAATAAGTAGTTTCTTAATAATATGTTCGCCACTAATATCTAGTTGCATTCAGTTACCAACTACTAACATCTATAGTGTC